AAAACACAAGCTCCTAGTTGTAATCACCTGACTCTACAGATGGTGGTGGAATTCTGCAGGCTCTCCTGAGCGCGCCAGCCCACTCTGGCAAGGACAGACAGCAGTAGTACATACTTGGACATGTTAGAGGTTTAATCAGAGCGAGGATTTAACATGTTAGAGGGTAGGATTCTCATGCATGAACTGGGGGTGTGTGTGTCACAAAAGCATCGTGCTAAACACGTCTCATATAGCATCTCATTTAATCCCCAACATCCTCCTTCCACTCTCTGTAGAATGTGTGTGCTGCCCTTGGAAGGAGTCATCCTCTGGAGCTAGAGTTAGAGATGGTTCTGGCAGCTGAGTATCCTCTGCAGCAGTAGAGTAGCAAGCGCTCTTGACTGCTGAGCTCTGTCTCCAGCCTTCACTGAATCAATCCTTTTACCGACCTGTAGCGATAGGCACTTTTTTTTTTTTTTTTTTTTTTAAAGAAAAGAGAAGGGTCATTTACCACCCTTCAGGCCAGCACTGAAGTAGAAAATTTGGAGGCTGAGCCAGCTGTATTGAATGCCTTATTGTCTGTATTTGCGCCGCTGACTGGGGAGTCTTGAGGAATGCACCAGACTAAAGATTATTATCACAAGGACGGAGACTTGTTATTATTTTTATTTTTAAATATGGTCTCTTTAAGACTGCCACTAAAGCTAGCGTTTCCTTTTATGTGGAAGACCTACTTTTACTGGTGAACTTGAGACAGTTACCCGGCTTCTGCCTCCTGGAACCCATTCCGCCTGACAGGACGCCACCTGGGACTGTATCCAAATACCAAGCAGGTGCCGAGGGAAGCGGCTGGCAGCGTACAGATCAGGGTTGCATTTGCATTGCAATTTTCGGTGATTTTAGCAAATGCTTTTCTTTGAAATGTTTGCGGACCTCTCACTCAAAGGCAAGCGAAGCTTTCACTCCTGAGTTAAGTGTCTGCACTTGGTTTACCCCCTGTGGGGAGAGAGCGTTCCTAACGGAGAAGCTGTGAAAATACAACCAGGGGAAGGTGTTAAACCAAACAAAAACAAAACAAAGCAAAGCAAAACAAAGCCAAGCAAAACAAACCATAAAAGCCTGAGGCTGGAGGGTGTGGCTCAGTGATGGACTGCTTTCCTAAACAGAACAGCTTCAGTTCTGTCTGCTTGGCTAGGGGATCAGACACAGGGATGCTTGTGGTCAAAGAGAAACTGCAGCTTGCATGTCTGCACCTTAGCCCAGGTGAGAAGCTCGGCCAGAAGAGGCTCAGGCAGTGAAACTGAAGACGTTGTCAGCACTTTACGGTTCTTGGCTATTGCCCTGGGATTCCCACATGCAGGAGTTGGGTGAAAATGGTTACATCACACCCTATTAGGAAGATGATTTGAGTTTGTTTGTGATTATAAGATTCATTTACAGGAAATGACCTGTTTCTCAAGGCCCAAGTGCTGGCTCTATGATAAAAGCTGGGTGAAGCTTACTCAGAGTGGAGGTTTTTAAAACTGTCTCTTTTCGGTTCTGTTTGTAAAAAAAGTTTCATTCATTAGGGCGGTGCTTTGCAAATCTGGAATGCCCAGAGTAGGCAGCGAGGCCTCCTGCAGGCTTATCACTTATACAGTGCATCCAGCCTTAGCACTGTACGTATGTTTCCGCCTTCCAAAAAGAGCCTCATGTTTTCCCATAAGTGAGAATATTACTAGCTTGTATATTGATTAACATATTTGTTTTGCGGTGAACCAGCTTCAGGGCATTCAAGTGGTTTTGATAAATTTGTACTTTAAAGTTTCAGAAACTTGAACAAAAATACCCTCTGCAAGCTAGCTATTTTTCTAAATATCCTATGTGGCCAACAGCCTCACTTACTGTCCTCGTAAGGCCGTAGGATGGGTTTTGTTGGAACAAGTCAGCCTCATGCGAATACTTCTGTTTTCAGGATTCTCCCATTTCCTCCCTAGCTGGATTAAGTAAAACAGCAGTCTCTAACGTGCTGTGAGTCCCCGCCATATGCCTGGCACTATCCTAATTCTTTATACTTAATCTTTCCGAAGTCTAAGTGTAGGTACCATCATCAAACCTTTCTACAAAATGAGCAAACCAAGGCACACAGTGGTTAAGAAGTGTTCTTGAAAGTTTGCCTAATTGGTGAGTGAACATTGTTCCTAGGTTCAGTCTTCAGAGACCCTGTTCTCAATTTTGATACCATTGTGCCTCAAAGACATGAGCTCTGCAGGTTTCTTGGTTTAAAAATACTTGACTGTGCCGAATAACTACTTATCTGAAATACTGAGGGTAACACTATTCCCTATGAAACAAGCGGAGCTGCCCTGCATAGCCAAAACAATCCTGTACAATAAAGGAACTTCTGGAGGCATCAAAGTCCCCGACTTCAAACTCTACTACAGAGCTACAGTACTGAAAACAGCCTGGTATTGGCATAAAAACAGACAGGAGGACCAATGGAACTGAATCAAAGACCTGGATATTATTCTACACATCTTTGAACACCTGATTTTTTGACAGAGAAGCAAAAAGTATAGAATGGAAAAAAGAAAGCATATTTGAGAGAAACGGTGCTGGCATAACTGGACATCAATATGTAGAAGAATGCAAAGAGATTCATGTCTATCACCATGTACAAAACTCAAGTCCAAATGGATCAAAGACCTCAACATAAAACCAACCACACTGAACCTCATAGAAGAGAAAGTGGGAAGTACACTTGAAAGCACTGGCTCAGGAGACCACTTCCTAAATAGAATTCCAGTAGCACTGAGACAATCAATTAATAAATGGGACCCTCTGAAACTGAGAAGCTTCTGTAAAGCAAAGGACATGGTCAATAAGACAAAATGGCAGCCTACAGAATGGGATAAGATCTTCACCAACCCACATCAAACAGAGGGCTGATCTCTAAAATATACAAAGAACTCAAGAAATTGGTCATCAAAAGAACAAATAATCCAATAAAAAATGGAGTACAGACCTAAAAAGAGAACTCTCAACAGAGGAATCTAAAATGACTGAGAGACACTTAAGGAAATGTTCAACATCCTTAGCCATCAGAGAAATGAAAATTAAAGCCACTCTGAGATTTCATTTTATACTCTTAAGAATGTCCAAGATCAAAAACACTGATGACAACTTATGCAGGAGAGGATGTGGGGTAAAGGAAACACTTCTGCATTGCTGGTAAAAGTGCAAGCTGGTACAGCTGCTTTGGATGTCAGTGTGGTGATTTCTCAGAAAATTAGGAAACAACCTT